TATATATATATATATATATATACATATATATATATATATATATATATATATATATATATATATATATATATATATATATATGTATATGTATGTATGTATGTATGTATTATCAGTGGAATGGCCAGTGCCGGTCCCAAGCCTGGATAAGCGGGAAGGTTGGCGGTAGGAAGGGCATCCGGCTGTAAAAACAATAAATAAACAAGACCATGAGGGGAGAAATTGAAAGAAGACGTTGACAAAGAGAGAGTAAAAGAAAATTATTACTGTCTTCTACTGTTGCTATTGTCATCATCGTTTTTACTTTTTTTTCAAATTGTTGTTATTATTATTTTCATCATTATTACTGTTATCATTTTTATTAATATTATTATTATTATTACTATTATCATTGTTATTATTATTATTATGTACTTGCGTCGGCAGTACATATACTAAAATTGGAACGATACATTATTATTATTATTATTATTATTATTATTATACATTCTTATTATTATCAGCATTATTACTATTACTACTATTATTACCATTATTATATTATCATTAGTAGTAGTAGTGGTAGTAGTACTATTTTTATTATTAGGACAGGAATAAGAAATGGAGGACAGTAACAAGGGAGTTCTATTCTGGTTCATAGATAGGATTAGGAAGAAAATAAAGATTTTTATGAACATGTAATGAAACAACTTGATTACCTAATTTAACTAATGTGGTTGTAATATATATTGTTATTATCATTATTTTCAGGTTGGTGGGGAAGTAGATGGGTAGGTAGGTAGGTTGGTGGGTAAACTGATGGGTAGGTAGGTTGGTGGGTAGGTAAGTAGATGGGTAGGTAAATAGGTTGGTGGGTAAAGCTATGGTTTCCTAGAAAAGCGGTGCCGCTATATTACGTCCGTAACATTACGTTGGATGACGTCGCAAAAACTGTTACATTATTTTCCCCGGCATTGGTTTCCTAGAGAGCGGTGAACGTAAGATAGCGGTGGCGCCAGTGTTTTTCTTCATTGCAATGGAGACGACGAACAACCAGAATTGAAAATGCACCCTCTGTAGATCGACATTTGAATAATTGACTTTCTTCCAAGCGTTCGTCTTCGGACGACTCATCTTCCAGATATATTAATAATGCCGTGTCTAGATCGTCCATACTGCGTGTGTTCTCTTTCCGCTTGATCTCAACGTAATGCAATCACAACACAGTTCTAACTTTACACCCTTGAGCGGCCGTTACGTTACGTTCGCCGCACAACGTAATGTTACGGACGTAATATAGCGGCACCGCTTTTCTAGGAAACCATAGCTTAAGTAGATGGGTAGGTAGGTTGGTGGGTAAACTGATGGGTAGGTAAGTAGATGGGTAGGTAAATAGGTTGGTGGGTAAGTAGATGGGTAGGTAGGTTGGTGGGTAAACTGATGGGTAGGTAAAGAGGTTGGCGGGTAAACCGATGGGTAGATAGGAGGTTTGTGGGTAAACTGGTGAGTAGATAGGCAGGTTAGTGGGTAAACTGATGTGTAGGTAAATAGGTTGGTGGGTAAACTGATGGGTAGATAGGTAGGTAAGTATGTATATTGGTTTATAGGTGGGTAAATAGATGAATGAGTGGGTTGATAGAGGGATAGACAGATAGATAGGTAAATAGACAAGAAGGATAGTCAAAAGGATAGGTAGATAGATAAGAACAAGAGAGAACTAGAGATAGAATGCTAAATGAGTAGATAAGCAGATATAGAGATAGACACAGACAGACAAGCACACAAACACGCAGGCAGAGAGAACGGAGACAGTACAACAATAAGAAAGAGAGAGGGAATAAGATAATAAGATTTTATTAATTGTGAAAGTTCAGTGATATCGCGGCTCTTGTTTGTTGCTGTCATGTGGAACGATACATTATTATTATTATTATTATTAATATTATTATGGTTTGCCTATATTTATCAATTTATCTAGATATGCCTGGTCCTTCGACTTTGTCTATGGTTGTGTCTATACATCCTTGCTTGTCTGATAACTAATAAAAAAAATATATTGTAGGCAAATTGCGGTCATGACTAACTCATTTCGTGACAAATCAATATTACGAAGACGAACTAACATACCAATAACTTCTTCATTCATTCCTGGAGGTACAGTATGTAAGTTAGAAAAGGTATAATGGGGAAAATTAGTGAGGAAAGTTTTAATATTACACGGACAGAGCCGTGTGATATCACGTAATAGTGTCAGTTACATGACTTGCTTAGTGTAATTACTTATCTTCATTTGAATTACATGTTCTCTTTTCCGCGGGCACACGGGTTCGAGTCGCGGCCACGGTCCGAGGTTAGGAAGGGCATCCACTCGGGGTGACGGTCTCCTCCTGCCAATTCCTGCCTGCCTTTCACGGGGTAGGTCCGTCCTAGCCCTTGTCCAAAAAGGGAGTGTCGTGACGCTAAACCAAACCAAAAACTAAACATTCTCTTTCCCTCACTAAGACGAAATACCAGATGATAATGATAGTATTATTATTATTATTATTATCATTATTATTTATTCTTATTATTATTATTACTGTTATTAACATTATTATATTATCATTAGTAGTAGTAGAGATAGTAGTAGTATTTTTATTATTGGGACAGGAATAAGAAATGGAAGATAATAACAAGGGAGTTCTATTCTGGTTCATAGATGGGATTAGGAAGAAAAGGAAGATTTTTATGAACATGTAATGAAACAACTTGATTACCAAATTTAACTAATGTTGTTGTAATATATATTGTTGTTATCATTATTTTCATTATTATTACTGCTATCATTATCATTATTATTATTATTATTACTATTATCATTGTTATTATTACTATTATGTACTTGCGTCGTCAGTACATATACTAAAATTGGAACGATATATTATTATTATTATTATTTATTCATTCTTATTATTATCAGCATTATTATTATTTTTACTATTATCACCATTATTATATTATCATTAGTAGTAGTAGAGGTAGTAGTACTATTTTTATTATTATTATTATTATTATTATCATTATCATTATTATTATTATTATCATTTGCATTATTATCATTATGATTGTTACCATCATTATCGTTATCATTCTTTTTATTGTTATCATTATTATGATTATTATTACTTTGTTTATTACTAATATTATCGTCTCTATAAATATCCTTTTTATCATTATCACAACCCTTGATATCATTATTATTGTTATTATAATCCTAATCGTAATCATATCTTCATAAATATCATTATCATTATCGTAATAATATTATCAACATTATCATTTTCATCGCCATTATTATCATTATTATCATAAATACTGTTTGCATTACTAACATTCTTATTATCAGTAGTAGCAGTGTCATTTTTCATTTTATTGGTATATTTGTGTCGGGAATTTTGGAATCCCATTATGTCGATTTCCAAAAGCGGAAAAAGCGCTAAAGGGACAATCTTGTGAAATAAAAATCTTCTTCTTCTTCTTCTTCTTCTCCTGGCTTAATTCCCATTTGTGGGGTCGCCGGTGCAGATCATCTTCTTCCATCGCTTCCGGTCCAGTGCGTCCCCCTCCATCTCTCTCACAGCCTTCATGTCCTCACCTACGCAGTCTTTCCATCTCCTCTTTGGTCTTCCTCTCCTCCGCTGGCCCGCTTCCATCCTCCTCACCCGTTGTGTCTGCATTGTGAAATAAAAATAAGACTACTAAAAACACTTTATGGAATCACGCACACATCCTTGGAAATGCAATCACTTCATTTGACAAATCAGCTTTTAAAATGCTTTAATATAATATTCTGAAATCTGAAAAATCCTGCACCCCCCCTCCCCCTCCACCTCAGTGAACCCACAAAACACATACACATAATATACACGCAGTCGCACATATTACACACATATCATTTTCACACACACTACCACAGGCCCCCCACCCCCACCCTGCATATACATACTAGCACAAACATGTTGCTGTATCTATGATTTTTATCAATTAGTTCTTTTAATACTAAGATGGAATAATTATTCTAATTAAGTGTTTTTACTTAGTTCAGAAACTATTTCCACGGTTGGACTTAGAACCGTTCTCTTCCTTCTCCAAAGGTTGAAAGCCATAGTTCACTGTGGTAAATTGTGAAGCATGCTCTGCTTATTCAGTTTGCGATATGCATCGCAACGGGCATTGTTATTTACCTCTTGAGTCTGCTCTCTGCTCTGAGAGACCCGAGCATGGTCTTTCTACAGCGCTGCTCGGGCTCCTCCCCAGAGGCCCAGCCGACGCCAAGCCGACCGATGCCATCGGAAGTCTTCGGCACCTACAACGAGGCGGGCCACTTGGTCAAGGGCGATCGCTGCCATGAGCACGGCTTATGCCTGACGTAGGAGCTCAAGGGCGCCGAGGCAACGACGTTGCCGGCAATCTTGGAGCACGCTGCCAACAAGCTCGGCGACGCGCCGTGCTTGGGCACGCGGCAGATCCTGGCCCGAGAACTCTTTGTGGAGGACGGAAAGGAGCTCGAAAAGCTGCGGCTTGGGGAGTACACCTTCCTCACTTACCGCGAAGTGCAAGACGTGGTAGTCAAGTTCGCCTCGGGCCTTGGCCATCTTGGCCCGGGAGACAGTGGCCGGGTTGCCATCTTCTCTGAGACGCGTGCCGAGTGGCTAATGGCGGCCTTGGGATGCCTGCGCCAGAAGCAGGCAGTCGTGACTGTATACACAACCCTCCCAGACGACAGCATCGTTTCGTCGCTTAATGAAACTGAGGTTCGTGTGCTCATCACGTCGCAGCAGCTGCTCGCACGCACAGTGGCGCTTCTCCCGCAGTGCCCTGCTGTCAAGCACTTGATCGTGTTCGAGGATCAGTTGGAGGGCATAGGCACGGTGGCCGAGGATCTCGGGGGTGTGTCTGTGACTCCCTTCCAGGACGTCGTGAAGTCCGGGGAGCTCGCGGAAGCCTCTGAATAGCTGCCGGCTGCCAACGATGTGGCCATCGTCATGTACACGAGCGGGTCGAGCGGCCGTCCGAAGGGCGTGGAGCTCACGCACGGTAACATAGTTCACGCCATCATGGCATTCTCCATGCAGGTGGATGTGCATTCCGGCGACCGCTACCTGGCCTACCTTCCGCTCGCCCACGTGATGGAACTTGCCGCCGAGATGGCGCTTCTTGCCGCAAACGTGGTCATCATGTACGGCTCTCCTTAGACCTTAACTAACAAGAGCCCCAAGGTGATGTCGGGCACGCTAGGCGACGCTCAGGTGGCGAAGCCCACCTACATGAATGCTGTGCCGCTCGTCCTCGACAGGATCGTCAAAGGCGTAAACAATGTTGCTCAGGACCAGGGCTTTCTCAAGCAGAAGATCTTCAGCAAAGCGCTGGAGATCAAGAAGAAACAAAGTGCGCCGGAGTTCGTGAACAAGATTCTTGACTTTGTAGTGTTTAACAAGGTCAAGGATCAGCTGGGAGGCGATTTGCGCTTGATTGTGGTGGGAGGAGCTCCTCTGTCGGCGGACACTCACACCAATATCCGCGCTATGTTCGGCTGCAATGTCCAGGTAGGCTACGGCGCCACCGAGACGACCGCGTGTATTAGCGGCGCCGTGACCAGCGACCAGCGCACGGGACACTGCGGTGCGCCATGCTAGGGCGTCCAGGTATCTCTCATGGACTGGGAGGACGGCGGATACTGCGTAACGGACAAGCCGCATCCCAGGGGGGAGATCCTCGTGTCAGGCCCCACCGTCGCAAAGGGCTACTTCCGCCTTCCGGAGGTGACGCAGGAAGCGTTCATCGAGAAGGAGGGTCAAGTGTGGTACAAGACGGGCGATATCGGCCAGATTGACGAGACGGGGGTTCTGCGCATCATCGACCGCAAGAAGGATCTGGTGAAGCTGCGAGACGGTGAATTCCTCTCCTTGGGCGACGTCGAGACCAAACTGAAGACGCATCCTGTGATCGAAAATATTTTTGCGTGGGCAGACCCTGGCGCCTAGAGGTGCATCTGTGTGTCTGTGCCCTCTGAGATCAGGCTAAGGAAGTTTGTAGAAAGCCTCAAGCTGGACAGCAAGCGCGACTTCGAAAGTCTCACTCAAGACCCTGCCGTGGTAGCCGCTGTGCTAAAGGAGCTGCAGGCCCACGGCATGAAGCAGGGACTTCGTATGCGGGACCTTCCTGTAGGCCTCTTCCTGAACACCAAGCCGTGGACCCCGGAGACGGGCCTTGTGACGGCGGCGTTTAAGATCCGGAGGCAAGCGCTCGTGACATACTTCAAGGAACACATAAATGCTCTCTATAACAGGTATTAA